AATCTTTGTCTAACTCACTTGGTGGTGGCAGCAGTACCCACCCAAGGACAAGGAAGGATTTGTGCCTTGGGGAAGTTTTAACCTAAGCTGGTAGAAATAAGCTTAGGGGTTCTTTCATGAGGGTCCCCACATCTGTACCCCAGAGTTTAGAGTGGGGAGGGAACCTTGACAACTCCCTAAATGAGAGTTTTGTTGTGCCCAGTACAGAAAGTTTGTTGGTGCCACTATTTTAGAGATGGTACAGTAATTGTCTTTCCTTGGGTACTGAGGCCACAGGTCTCCAGAGTACCCGAGCAGGTGTGTTACCATGGCTCATGTGGTAGCACAGAGGAGTGTCTGAGTATGTTGTCAGTTTCGATGATTGGGAAAGTGCAGAACACTTCCTGGATGGGAGTTTTGTTGCACCTGGTACCAAAGGGTTTCTCTGTGCCGCTCTTTTAGAGATGGTCCGTAATTGTCCCCTCTCCTTAGGAGGTGGTACCTTTGCCTCAAAGCCTGACTGTGGAAGCCCCTGTCTTCTCCATGGGGAGGGTGCCACAGAGCAGAGCTCACAGCAGGGGGCCCCTTCTGGGTGCCTTGCTTCAGAGGTGGCCGGTCTGGGGAGCCCCACTGGCTGGTCAGTTGCTCGGAGCCCTTTTTACGAGCCTTTCTGGGGTTGGGAGTCTCCTGGTGTTTTTTTTTTCCTCTCCTTTTCATGAATTGACCCCTTTTGAAGTGAAGGCTCTGGGGATGATCTCGGGTCAGCACCAGAGTCCCCTGCAGACTGAGGAGTTTTCTCCATAGGGAGGAGTTTTAACTTCAGCTCCCAGCTCCCGTGAGGTTGCCGTTTTAGCTGTGGCAGGTAAAGCACTTATGTGGGGCTCTCCCAGGCACAGGGAGAGTGTCAGGCCATTACAGGAACTGACTCCTGGCAGGAGAGGCACCGTTTGGAGCAGAGAGAGCCAGGGGGTTGTCATCCTCTAGCAGTGAGGAATGCAGAAGAACATCTTCTTTACTCTTCTTCTTCTTTTTAAAGTGAAAAAAAAAACAGAATTATGAGTCTACTAGATGCTGGGGAGGGGGAGAATGCCCTCAGACAGGGCAGGAAACTGAAGTTCTCTCTCTCTCTCTCTCTCTCTCTTTAACCCAAAGGAATAAAATAAAATGAAATAAAGAAACACCAGCCTAACTACTTTTAAGGAGTACAAAGATAACAAAACAAACACTGCTTATGCTAATGATACATAAGGAAGGGACGACTGCTCATTCCATTTAAGGCCAAAGGCGGTAGAGAAGGAAGTGAGGGGGGTTTGCCCGTGCAGTGCTAAATAGCCTCGAGGCAGACCACGATGGAGGGAGGGCACATGTGCGGGCTCAATGGACACTTCTACCAAAAATCTCCAATCAGTGGTGCAGGGGAGCACATACACCTACCATGAAGCACCCATAGAGACACTACTCGAAGAAGTTACATATTACCCTACCCTTATCCCCGTAACTATTAGTTGAACAAAACATCCTTTTCCATTACCCTATCATATTTCCATTATCCTAACATTGCGTATCTTAGGTCGACCTCCCCCCCCACCATGTACCCGTGTAGACCAGGGCTTAGAAATGTGTTTATGTAGTTACATAAGAGATCGGTGTGTTTTTGTACCATGCTCCCTGGTCAGGAATGTGCTTACTTGGCGTTAGGTAACACCTGTGTTACCCCGTAATTTGAAATTTCTGTCTGTACCCCAGAATTTGACAGTACTGCAGTCAGCAATTATGTATGTTCAGCTACAGCCAGCTGAAAAACAAACATCACATACCTAGGAAAATCTTAGGCCCTGAGAAGCAAGACCAAATAACTGCATGTTTACAGTTTTGCTATCAGAATGGGAGAATGGGATAAGAAGTGAATTTATTGTGAGAATAGAAGGAGTATTTGGACAGAGATCTCAGTCTTGAATACCTAAGACACCATTGTTGTTATGATTAAAAATGTTTTGATGATAAGATATAATGAGTAGTTTTGCAGAAAGTAGGAGAATTGGTGACCCATTAGGAGTTACTATGGTGACCCACTAGGAGTCAGTATAAGTTATGTTCTTTGTTTGAAGTTAGCTATGAAAGATTAGGTGAAAGAATTTGCTTTGGAGCAGTCCAAGGAAACTTTCTTTGGGCTAGGATCTGACACCTAACTTCCCCAGCAGCTAGACAGAAGATAGCCCCCACCCCACCACTGAAGCCTGGCCCCTGATTCCTTGAAAACATCTCTTAGCTTTTAGTAAATATAAATGTTTTGAGATGTTCTAGATCTCTTGCTACAGCACATGTGTGTTTGTGTTTGAGATCTAATGAAAAAGTAGTTTTAGGTAAAAACACTCTGATTTGTATCAGTTATACGTCAGATGGGTGAGCTGTTTCCCCATTGATTTATTCCTGACACTGCCTGGAGAGAAACAGTTCACTTACCACTGCTTTGGGTTCTGAGAAACCCCAGGTAACACTTGGTGTGTTATTATGTTGAGAACTTATAGATTGAAAATAGTGTTTCAATTTTAAATTTGACCAGTTTGAAATAAAACATTGACAAAAAAAAAAAAAAAAGTGAAAAATACCTGAAATGGAGAAATTAAATAAGTAATAATCAGAAAAACATTCATTTTGATTGGACTGAAACATTTAAATTGGTTTAAAACAACTTCCTTTTGAGTTCTTTGATTTAATGAGCAATCTAGAAAGAAAAATGTTTTGGTTGCAATTGAACCAGATTATTGGTGACAAGTATCAGAGGGTAGTTGTGTTAGTCTGTATCCACAAAAACAACGAGGAGTCTGGTGGCACCTTAAAGATTTATTTGGGCATAAGCTTTCATGTGTAAAAAACCCATTTCTTCAGATGCATCAGATTATTGGTGGGATTTTTCTATTCAGCCCCGGATCATTTTTTTTCTTAATAATTCACTGAATGGAACATAAGAACATAAGAATGGCCCCACTGGGTCAGACCAAGGGTCCATCTAGCCCAGGATCCTGTCTTCCGACAGTGGCCAGTACCAGGTGCCCCAGAGAGAATGAACAGAACAGGTAATCATCAAATGATTCATCCCATCGCTCATTCCCAGCTTCTGGCAAACAGGCTGGGGACAGCATTCCTGCCTGTCCTGGCTAATAGCCATTGATGGACCTAATCTCCATGAATTAATCTAGTTCTTTTTGAACCCTGTTATGGTCTTGGCCTTCATAACATCCTCTGGCAATGGGTTCCACAGGTTGACTGTGCGTTGTGTAAAGAAATAATTCCTTTTCTTTGTTTTAAAACTTTGTTTGTTTTGCTGCCTCTTAATTTCATTTGGTGACCCCTAGTTTGTGTGTTATGAGAAGTAGTAAACAACACTTTCTTATATACTTTCTCTATACCAGTCATGATTTGATAGACCTCAATCATATCTCCCCTTAGCTGTCTCTTTTCCAAGCTGAAAAGTCCCAGTCTTATTAATCTCTCATACGGAAGCCGTTCCATATCCCTAATCATTTTTGTTGCCCTTTTCTGAATCTTTTCCAATTCCAGTATATCTTTTTTGAGATGGGGTGACCACATCGGCACACAGTATCAAGGATGTGGGCATACCATGGATTTATATAGAGGCAACATGATATTTTCTGTCC